TTTGAAATTGAAAAAAAAAGAAATAAAAAGCACCATCTCGCTAATATTTCATAGGATATTCCAAAAAATTCGTCGTTTTACCGACAACTTAAGCTTCCGACGTGCTAAAAACAAAGGCGATAAATCTAAATTTGCCCGCGTAAATCAGTAAAAAACAATTTTACGTCTTGGCAATAAAAAACTTTCCTCGCCGTTAAGGCTTTAATGCACCCGGGAGAAACCCCATTCGACACTCTTCGGGATATTTTAAAGTTGAGCTATTTATTTTTCGTTTCCGGCTCGTCTGAAAGCTCCTGTAGCGTAAAGTTGTTGCACCTGAAACTTTCCGACTGGTTTTAGATAGACGTCCAGTAAAAAATTATGTCACGGTATTAAGTCTTTATATCGGTTACTGTCTACGACATTATTTATGTTGATATATTGCGAAAGTTTTGTTAAATAGTTTACTTTAATTTTATGTATTTTTGTATTAAAAATATACAAGGTTATTCACCTCATTCGACACGGAGTATTGTAGACACACAGTTAGATTTTTAGAAATTGTAAGTGATGGGATCGTTAAAAGTCTACTAAAGCTACAATTTATAATTATTTTCAAAAAGTGCAGAGTGCCACAAATAAAAAAAATATCAAAGTTGTATTTTTTGTTGTAAATTTGATTAAGATTTACCGTACTTTATTACCATTTTTAAAATATTTATGATTTTGTGAAAATGCAGTAACAATTTTAATATTTAATTTCTCTAGGCGTATTTAAGTTATTAAAACCAAATATTGTACTGAAGTTTTAAGTTCTATTAAATTATTAAATTTTTATTTAATATTAATTATTTTTATTTTTATTATTTATTTATTAAATTTAATGTTGCAAAAATAAAAATAATATTATCTTATACAGTGCCTAACATTTATTTTAAATAATTACTAGCTTTAAACGGTAATAACTGGTTTAATTTAAATGGAACACCCCGTATATTTTACGAGAATCAGATGCATAATTTAATTGTCTATCAAATTATATTATACAATTTTTTACGTATCTCTTCAAGTTTTTGTAGAAAATGCATTTTCTTATAATTTAGATCTCATTTACACCTATTAATACCTATACAATATTGATATTTTAGATTATTTTTAAAGATATAACAAATTTTCAAAGAGTACAGATACTAATATTGTCGATATAGTTCGCTTATTTTATTAAAAAATATAAAAAGAAGACGAATTTATTTGATCCCAGAATTCAAACTACATTAATTGACTGTTTGTGATGATTAATAATTGCTCCAAAAACTAAAAAAACTGAATCTTATAAGTATATTAGAGAGGTAGGATTTAGGTATTAGGTAAAAAGTAACATCTTATAAATTTTATTTTATTTTTTGATGAATGCTTGTTTATAACAACAGGTACGTTCACATTCATAACTTATTATTATATTGATTTCTGATTGAAATCAACATTTATTTAGAATAATTTATTAACCAACACAATTAAGTATGTAATTAATTAATATTTGGGCGGAAATAATGGTGGGATATTTAATTAGTATTACTCTTTTACAAAGATTTAAATAGTTTTCTTTTTGTAAACAAATGGGCTAGCAATATTATCGGTTTTAGTAACTGTTTAACTGTACATTTGTTGCTTTACAAAATATCTAAAATGTCAAGATTCCATGAGTATGATTGCTTTTTAAATAGGTACAATCCTTTTGTGCATGTGTGTAATCATTACTGAATTGAAATATTTAGTGTAATATAAAATATATAAAAATATATAAAATGTTCCAAAAGTTATATAATTCACTGTTAAATTGATGTATTAAAGAAAAAATGAAATTAATTTCTTTTAATGTACCTAAATAAATCAAACAATATGATCATTACTTAATTTGTTTTACTAATTCCTAAATAACTAGATAATTCCTAAAAAAAGTAATTCCATAATTTGTCAGGATCCGAGACACAATTCCTGTTTCAAAATTTTATAAACATTAGATTAAAATCTATGATATTAGAACAAAATAATTTTTTATTTTGGGCCATTCATAACATATGTTGTTAAAGATAAAACATATTCTACTGGTTTTAAATAGACATGAATTATAAATAATGTTCCAAAATAAGTCTGTATATTGGTAACTGTCAAAACGATATTATTTATATTAAACTAGTCTCTTTAAGTTTTAGCTTCTATACTTTTGACAACAATGGAGCTACCCTATAAGAGAGTATCACTGATGCTTAAACATCAGTAATAAAATCAAACGTAACAATGTAACAATCTCATTTTTTAACAAAACGACTTTACTAACGGTCAGTCAAAAGACAGAAAGAACAAAAACCATTACACGATATCCCGTAATGCTGGGGAACCTAACACTTCAACCTTTAACCTCATCCCTGTAGTTTTACACGTAATAATATTACCAGACCACCTCTAGCGCTGACTAGGCTCTAAAGTAACGCTAATTAAGAATTAAGTATTCTTTTCTGTTCTAATTTTCGTTTTATTAAGATTTACCGCCTCTAGAAAAATTAAATTCCATGTAAAGGTTTTTTCCACTTAGGTTTGTTCACTTTTTCCTCACTATTCTCCAGTGTTGTTGGTGGATAATTTTTTTTGAGGCTTTATAATTTAGCGCGGTTTTTAACCATTAGAGTAAGTCTACTGGTTAATTACAGTGATGCAAACTATATTGTGAGTATACTCATTATTTTTTTGGACTAAATTCAGCTAAACCTAGCCTACGGATTGTCAAGATTTGCAACACTGTCCGTGTTTTTATTCTATTGTTCTCTTTCTCCACTTTAGCTTGATGGATCGCAAGGCCGTAGGCCAAGAAGGAAAATGTCTTATATTCAGTTATGAAAAGGTAGCAAAATAAATAACGAGACCTGAAATGTTTTCTCTTTATATTCGTTAAGTGATATTGTCCAGCTGGTGGGTATTTTTTTCTGCTGACAATGTATCATTATCCCAAAGTATATAGCTCGTGGTATTTTAATATTCTAGTAATTGATAGGTGTATAAGGTGGAAATAGTTAAAGAAATTATGACAAAAAACTACTAAATACAATAATGTAGTAGTCTCTCGTAATGTGTGTGTGTGTGTGTGTAATAAACAACATTTTTTTTGGAAAAGTACATATAAACAAAATAAATTGGATACAGAAGATTTTCAAAAAGAAATTAAGAAAATCAAGCTCCTATTTAAAAAAATAAAGTTGATGATAGTTCCAGAAAAATTTTGTTTCGCATCACCAAAAGATGAAGTTAAAGAAGTTTTCTGGAGAATGGGTTTCCAGATTATTTCTAAATAAACTATTAAAAAATGTAAACAAAAACTGGAAATTTAAGTTTTTCTGCCATATTTCCGTCAATGACAAAAATAAAGTTTAAGTACTAAAGGTAAATGTATTGTACTACCCTATATCTTGCTGTTTCTATGTTTCCGAGACTCAATTGTATTTTTAGAAAAAAAATAACTACTAAGATAATTGAAAACAGAAAATACCAAACCTGAGTTAACCAAAGTTTGTGTTGGTGAGGTTGTTTATTTCTTAATTAACATTAATTTAAGGGTGAAATTTATGGTCTCAGCGGTGCGGATAAATAAATTATAAGGAAAAACCCTCGGGGGTGTTGTTACAAGGTGAAACCTTGGCTTTGTAACGTTGCCGAATGTTGTAGTGTTACGATTCTGTAGTCTTAATGTTCGTTTTTTATCAAGAGAGAGACAGATAACCATCCACAAAGATCGATTTATACATTTCATTAGGTTTTTTTTACTGAAGAAAGAGAAATCTTTAAGAAAAATAACAACTTTCAGTAAGAATTAAGTAGGTATTTTGATACACTGTGTGGTGAAAAACGTTCAATTTTAAGAAACTCTTAAAAAGTCCTAATAAGCTGAAACATAATATCTGATATACCGTGCTGGAAACTCTTACTTTTGGTATTTACATGTGTGGAAGTAAAGACCTTATTAAGACGGAGTGAGAGAAATGCGGCGGTGTGCTGCTGGGGCGTTGCAACCTTTCTCCGGTACACATTCCCTGTCAAGTAAAGTAAAATCACGATCATAAACCGCTTATTTTTAAAATCCTTTTTTTTTTCGAAAAGATAACTAGATAAAATCATTAGATACGTTTCTGAGTATTCGAAATGGAATTATAAGGATATCGTTAGGGTGTCCATTTTTTATAACTAGAAAACGTCAGTAATCCAGATAATTTAAAAACTCTACTTTTTAACACATAACACGTGATAACTCAAGAACTACTTTAGATATTGAAACTTTTTTCTATTTTGAAGTTCGGATCTTTTAAAAGATGTTTAAATAAACAAAAATTCGATAGGTTTATTTTTTTTTTCATTCAAAAATTTTAAAGAACCCATCCATTTACTTTTAGTGCATAGCAATTTTCATGTAACTTTTATATTTATAAAGAGTTTCACATACTGTCTGCGAAGAAAATATAGCAGAAATATTAAGAAAGTTTTTGAAAATCAATTGTTTCTAATGGATTTCGAGATATAGATTTTGATATATGATTTCTGAATTCAGAGTGCTAATAGCGTGACCACTGTCGAACACCAACTCAATTCCTCGAAATCTCGACCCAATACTAACCTTTGCCGGTCCTTAGTATATTATAAACGCGAAAGTTTGTTTGGATGTATTGAAGTTTCTTACTCTTCCACGCAAAAACTACTGAATGGATTTTAATGAAACTACAATAATATAGCTTATACATCAGAATAACACATAAGGTATAATTTGTAAAGATATCTGATATTGATTGTAAAGATATCTCTAAGTATAGCATTAGAAAGGATATAAAATGCATATTTGTTAGTTTCGAAAATATTCGCGAGTTTTTTTGTTGAAATTGTCGATATAGCTGACATAGAAAACTTCCTCAAGATCTAAGGTTACCCGTTCACAATAACTTAAAATCAAATTTAAAAACAAAAGCTTCTAGAGCACTTACCTTGAGTACAAATATTTCTCCTGTCGTCCTGTTAATGTCGAACTTGCTGTTGGCCGGGTTGTCCGGATCGATGCCCTGTCCCGTCAAGAAATAGACGATGTTCTGCGGCCTGTCCTTGTCCCCGTCTGTGGCGGTGACCTGTTTGTACAGGAAAAGAGAAAATTGTGAGACGAGGACGTATTAGAGTCCTGTCCCCTGCGGGCGCTAAACAAATATTAGACGGCCGGAGGAGGACGGGACCAAGAGAACAGGATAAATACCGTTGTGTGAGGTTGGCTCGGTTTTATTGTGCCGCTCTCGAAGGAGAAATGTGTGTCTGTTCCGTTACGCTTTCGGACGTTTGGAAATAATGCATGGCGGGCTTTTTGAATTTACGAGTAGGGTGCTTTGTTTTAAAGTTCGGTTTTGTAGACGGGATTACAAAATAGTGTATACAATATGTGCTGTTATAAAATACACATCTGTACTATGTACTGATAAATAAATGTTGATTTCATTCCTGTAACGTATATAGAAATCAGATTAATAACAACGATAGTAATTATAACTAACATGATCAATAGAAGAAGAAACAATGATAGAAGAAAAAACATGATCAATTTGTCTTCTGTCTTTATTCAGTACATCTTATTTTGCTAAGCGTGTTGGCCCGTACGTAAGACTCTTCGTACACACGAAAATCGGCATCCAAGACCAGAAATGCCAGCCCTAGTATACATATTTTTATAAACACACATACATATACTTATGCTTCTTCTAGGCTGCAAATTGGGGTCTTAGGCTTCCGTTTGCTCCTTTTGTTTTCATCATCTTTTTTTTTTTCATCTACTAGGTTACAGACGGTGCCTCGTGCATCGTTTGCTTCCTGGTTTATATTTTTTGGGATCGTTGTGATCGCTTGCTGATTCCTTACCGTACTGATGATGCTGGAAGGCAGTTACACTAGTGTACACTGATGTAGGTGTGGTTGTTGTGTGTGAGTGTGAATGTCTACACCAGTGTAGCTGTAGGCTGGTAGATCTTGATCTCCTTCAAATAATTGGGGTCCTGGATTGTTAACACCTTGAAGAACGACGTGGAAGGAAATAAAAACTAGGATAGAACAGGGTCAGAAATGCATTTTTAAAAACGAAGAGCGTTTTCAAGAATCCCAGATTGAACCTTGAGTATGTTATAAAAATTTTGTTTCAATATACTCGGTTTCGATTTAAGCGGTAGTTTCAAGGAACGTAAAACGAGGAACTCTTGTACCTACTTAAAATATTGTCCTCAGCTGAGATAAAACTTAATATCATAAATATAGTTTCAAGTTACTGAACTCTAGCTACAACCTTAAACAGTTGTTTAACGTTGCATTCTATTTATATATTACGTTACAGGAAGTATCTCGAATGTTATTTTATAAAAATAATCTCCTCGGAAATAAATCTTTTAAACTTTCGTAAAACTACATGCATTATTCGTGTCCCAGAGTACACGTATGTACGTAGTACCCCATATGTACGTAGTTATTTCAGCTTCGCCATCGGCTACAGATAAAGCCCGGCCAACCGTTTGTATTTTGTTTGTAACGAGCAGCTTACTACAATAAATCAACGTAAAACGGGTAGCAAATGCATTTGTCGGGTGCACTACCAACACACAATCTCTCTTGCTCTAACACACTCTAATTTTCTTACCTTGTATCATCCGGTCATCAAACATTCTAAAGGATTGTTTTGTTTACGTGGAAACTACCATTAATATTTACAGAATACAATGTAATAGAAATAAATAAAAAATATATCTGATGAATAAATAAAGGAATGAATAATGGTATGAAGAAATATAAATTTTTTTAAAATTTTTTCGTAATTTATAAATAATTTTAAAACAATATGCATAATAAATGAGCCTGATGAATATGATGTTTAAGGTGAAAAATTACTGAGAATATTCGAAGAAAAATGGTTTAATTTTAGCGGTGGAAATTCACTTCCTTTATCCATATTTTATATCTTGCCTATTTTAGAAATTAAATTTTAAATTCGCTTCACTTTATAAAACGCAGCTATACTGATATGTCAAAAAAGAAAAAAAAATATAAATTTAATACACATTAAACATATCAATTAAAATTTTACGTAATCGAGGGAGCGATTTTTAAATTCATTCTGTTCAAACTGTCAAGTTGCCACATTTATTTCTTTATTTCCTGACATTGTCATTCGTTTTGACACTTTTGTATTGTATTACAAGTTTTTGGTTTAAATAAATAGTGTTGTGATACTTTAGCTTGAAAATGTTTACTTGCAGACCTTGTAGTCGAATATTGTTCTTTTTAGAACCTCTTTTAGTGCGAAGTGTACAAGATAGCTGTACTAACAGCCGTAAAAACTCATCGCAAGTTTATTAGAATATTTTGAATGGGAAATTAATGGTAGTAATGGCTCTTCATGTCCCTTAAGTGCTCTTAAGAAGGTGAGTTTTGTTGATGTAAATAATAACTGTTTATATATTTATAATTAATTTATTTTTGTTTCTGAAAATATTTATTATATTATTATATTTATTAAAAGAAAATATATAAAAGTTGGCAACGCTGAGCCGGTCAAGCTTAATCACGTACTAAATGTTTATTTGGTATGAACTGTAGAGGTTTAATCTACCAGATATTGTACAAAAAGTTGTATTTTTAGTTCCCCTATCCAAAAAATATAGAAATGATAAGAACAGTCAGTAGCGTACAATTTTTTAACAATTATTTTCGATAAGGTGTCCCGTTGGACACCACAGATTTAATAGTTTTTATTTAGTTAGACCTAAATTAGGCCACTATTGCTAGAAATAATATTGAAAATTTTAAATAAAATTGGCTACAGCGTGTTAAGATTTGTTTTTTAATTTTTGACATCCTGTATGTTTAAAACAACGCCTTTTCATTCCTTCTATATTTCCGCTTTTTTCTATACTTTTTGATAAGGAATCACCCCCTGAAATTTGACAATTCATTTTTCAAACGCACTGTATGTAAAATTTAAATTAACACATTTTATTTAACACAGCGTAGAATTAAATTTTTATATCAGCAGTTAAGTGGCAAGAATCCTTATATAATTTTATTATATACCTATACTGCAAGAAATTTGTTTTCTATTTTATAAAATTTAAATTTTAACTCTTCAATAAAAGTAGTAAGAATAATATTATAGGCATTCTTTTGAATGATTCTTTATAGTCTTCTCAGCTACCGTTACTGCAAGTCTTGCATAAGAATATAATTCTAAGAAAATAAAACGAATAAAGAATAAAGAATAAAATAAATATAAATAATTGTATAAACTAAAAAAATATAATTTTATATAAATAAAATTAATAAAATTAAAATTGAATAAACTGGATAGATATTTCTAATTTACTAATAGTTAATTTAATAAAAAATGTAATATAACATTAATTATATTAAAATAAAAAATTAATCATACCTATTCAAAAATATAAGCAGATATAGCTATAATCTTTGAATATTCAATGAATATAGTTCGAGGCTTGCCTTACTGTAGCCAACTTCAGATGTTAATTTCATTAAAACTGATTAAAGTACTGATTAAACGGCTAAAGATCTAAATCTCCATCGGAACTCATTGAAGAGTTGTTCAAATCAGTGGTAAATGCTGTGCAAACCTACGGCAAATTAGTTAAAGACAAGCGTCGCCACTGCTTGTGTATTCTACCACTTAGAACGAGAGCTGTACTAGAGAATGTTCGATATATCCGTCTTTTAGGAAAATGAAATGTTCATCTTATAGTCATTTTATATTTCTTCATCTATACAATTATTTATTTATATCGGGTGCGTCTCAAAAGTGACTAAAATCACTATACTTTTTATTCTTTCAGATAAAAAAGGAGATTTGGTATGTATTTTAATTTTTAAATGGCCTCCTCGGTATATTTCTACTTTATTCGATAAAAAATGACATTCTGAATAGAAGATCATATCATATGTCAACTTTTGACACCTAAGCATATGGTTTATTTGAAATTGTAACATGCGGTTCATAACGAAAATTTGACTCGAAATACTAAGTTTGTGGTACCAAATTATTCGTAAAAAAATGCTTTTTCCAAATATGTTAATGAAGCACCCTTGTTCCATTTGAAAAAATTGAGATATGATTAAAATACAGATAAGACACGAAAAACATTAGACGATCAAATCTATTTTTCCAAGGCTCCTTGATTAAAAATTAGTGTTTTTAACACAGGCATGGATGGCACTCTAGATTGAAATTTTAAATACGATTTTTTTAAGCGAAATGTCAAAAGTTGACATATGATATGTTATAGTTCAGGGTGTCATTTTCTATCGATTAAAGTAAAAATATACCGAGGGTGACATTTAAAAACCAAAAGTTGTAGTCATTTCCGGTGAAACAGGAAGTGGCCAAAAACGATTGAATACGTCAATCAATCCTAATTTATGTTATATACTAACATACCAAATCTCGTTTATGTTATCTGAAAAATAAAAGAGTTATAGAGGTGGGCCACTTTCGAGGCGCACCCGGTATATTAATAAGAATATTTAAACATGTTTTCAGGCTAGCGGTCTGTAAATTGTTTCTAATAGTAGGAAAATAAACTCATTTGTTCTTAATTTTCTCTATATTTTGTCCTATTTTAGTGACTTCATCAAGAGAAAAAAAGCTTTCAGTTAATATAGACATAGGTACACTGATCATATTAAAAAGTCTTAATAAAAAAACAATACAGTTCATACCAAATAAACTTATAGTCACGTGATTAAGTTTGACCAGCACAGCTTTATACGCTGTGCTGGTCAAACTTAATCAATAATACTTTTATAGGAATTTTATAATTCTATTATTATCTATCTATTTACGCAAATCATATCCGACAAATTACCATTTTTTCTCACTCCGTCGCCAACTTCGCGCTTCTCAAATTACTAAACTTTAATAGATAATTGATAATCGTCGCGAAGCCTTCCTTTAAAGTTCGGTTCACTTAATGGCCTCCAAATAGACGAATAAAACTAAAAACGATAAGCCTGACAGTTTCAATTAGCTGCGAGAACTGGGGGTGATGGCGGCAACTTTTAAAACCCAATATAAATTCTTGCCGACTGATCGGCAGAAGCTAATAAAACTTCCTCCTCTTATATAGGGATGGGCTTGAGCAGCGCTACTTATGAGGAGGCAATTTATTCGATGGCATGGCAATCGATTATAAGCCTTTTTTTAATGCCGACGACGTAATAAGGATTATTATAAGGAGAGTAACTTTTTTACGAGAATTTAATATATCGCTCGGCGTGAAGTCGATGGATTTTAATAATGGAAGAATTTATTGTGGGAACATTATAGGAGAATAATAGTTGTAAATCTCTCTCTATAAAAGATAGACTAACCATATACAGGGTGGTCTGAATTGTTTTCAAAACTAACAAATTGTTTTCCAAAGCAAACCAAACTAACGGCCATACTTGGATAAAAATTGGTGTTTGAGTGTTTTATGGCATGATAAATTTGATTTAGATGGCAGTATGACTCCTACTTGTACGGGGCGCCACCTACATATTTTTTAACTGTTTTGAAGAGCAATAAATTTTCGTCCGTACCTGTATTACACTACTAATTAAAAAAATATATCGTCAGTGAAACGTGATAACCTGCTAACACCATTTTTTACGTTAATAAGTTTAGCTACTGTATAAGTTAATACCGTTCAGTAAATACGTAATAAATACGTATCCGGAAGGGGTAAGGGGAAAAATGAAATTCTCTATATACGAGTAATTCATCGGCATGCTATAAATAGTTTAAAGAATTTCCATAATACCTAATCAGTTTTATTTTCAATGTTTTTCATCGTAAATGATACATAATCTTTATAAAAATAAAAAAAAATAAGGAGAAAAACAATAAAAATTTAATAAAATCACGCTGTTTTCATCCTATAATGACCGCACTGTTTTCCAAGCTCGGTCTACTACCCTTGTAAAAAAATTAGGATAAGCATGGAATGAGTCTACCATATCTTCTAAGAATTATAAGTTTAATTTTTAAATTATTTTCATATTCATTAAGTCCAAAATGCTGCTACTTCAGTTCTTTAAAACTGCATTAAAAATTTATTCGTTTTTGGACTTGTATGTTTGGCTTCTAGACCGACGATATTATAAATATATGGTTATGAATATCATACTTTTTAAATTTAATTGATTATATTTCTAAATCTGTTGGGTAATATTCAATTCCATTTTCAAAATTTCAAACAATAAAGGTTGCTATCTCCAGAAATATATTTTTATTTCTTATTTCTGCAAGACGAATATCTGTTATCTCTCTATTACGTCTGAAAAAAATGAAGTAACACGAAATATTGAGTTTTATTGTTCCCCAGACGATATGTATATTTCCAACGGTCTTTATATACAAGATTGAGTAGCGTTGATTGAAAGATTTCTTTAGTAGTTTTTAAACTGCTTGTTAAAATATATTTTTAGATAGAAATAATAAAATACCGAGTTGAACTTAACTTTCTAGCAAACTAATGGATCCTCAGCGAAATTTCTTTTTAATAAGTTGTAATAAAATTCGAACCTAAAACTTTATCACGCCTAAACTTCACATAACATTCATTGTAAGCTGTAATTCCGACAACAATTTGCTTACGCGGCTTGAATTGCAAATGCCTAACTAAATCAATTAGACGAACTTTCGACAAGAAATTATAACTCTTCAATGGATCCTAACTGGCTTCCTGTCAACCGAACTACTTTAAATTTAGCCTTGATAGTTAATTTATATTCCTTTAGGACGACGTTCAAGAAATTAGCATACTAATGAAAAATAAGAATGGACGCAGATTATAAGCATACAACTTTTAATTAGACTTTGATTAAAAGTTTTATAGTGTTATATAGTTTTTAATAAGGAACAAGGAGCCGCAAAATGTCTCTTAATGTCTCTTTGAGTAAATAGTGTTAAGTTGAGGTAAAATTACCCCTTATTAACTCGCCTTATCCATTTAATGGTAATATATAATTATACAAGGTGTCCCAGAAATAAGTGCAAGTATTTTAACTGGTAGTATAGTTCAACCCCGGAAACACGCCTATGAGGAAACGCCCTGTTGAAAATTCGAAATTTTTGAAAAAATTTTTGGAATTGTTTTTAGTTTTTAGATAAAAAACATAATTTCTTGATAATATGGCAACATAGGTAGTAGATTAAATTTACAAGAATGAAAATCCAGAAAAGATCCAGTGGTTCTCAAAATTTGAGCAAAAAATCATTTTTTTTGGAAATTTTCAAAGTAAAATAACTCCGTTATTTTGGAGTTATTTGAAAAACGATAAAGAGAAAATATGTTTCTTTTATCGAGGTCTACCACCCCTTAAAATACTTGCACTTATTTCTGGGACACCCTGTATTAAGATAAATTAACCATTAATTAAGATAAATTTACCATTGAAAATGACCGAATGACATATATACTGGGTGCGTCTCAAAAGTGGCTCACTCCTATAACTTTTTTATTTTTTCAGATAAAAAAATGAGATTTGGTATGTTAGTATATGACATAAATTAGGATTGATTGACATATACATTTGTTTTCGGTCACTTCCTGTTTCACCGGAAATGATTAGAACTTTTGATTTTTAAATAGCATCCTCGATATTTTCTTACTTTATTCTATAGAAAATATCACTCTGAATTGAATGACATATCATATGTAAACTTTTGACATATTCGCTTAAAAACAAATTGTACTTTAAATTTCAATCTAGAGTGCCATGGCTATGTTAAAAACACTAATTTTTAATCAAGGACTCCTGGAAAAATAGATTTGATCGTTTAATGTTTTTAGTGTCTTGTCTTGGCCGGTTAAAAGATGCCCAAATCGTAGAACTATCTCATTATTCTAATCGTATTTTCCTAATAACTTTTAAGTACATCCCACTAAAAACTCTCATTAAGGATGCTTAATCGATTCACACGGATTTAAATAAATTTCGCCAAAGTGCAGCAAACTCTTCCAAAGAAAATTTTACTAGCTACTATTCAAGCAATGAGAATTTATATTAGACTATAAAAGTTAAAATCTGGATTTAATTGAAAGCTTCACCCCTATTAATTTGGCCATATTCTATACTATGCTAATTTTAAAACGCCTTAGAGGCTAATGAATAAACTATTAAAGGTTAATTTAAAGTTTCTGATTAATAACCATGTGAAGGATAATGAAGAGTTAAATTGTATTTTTCTAGAAGATCTCTGTCATGTTAATTTTAATTTTATTATTAGAGAAATTCAAATATTTATTTATTTTTTTAAATGCACATAATATGCAAAGGTCTTGCTTAAAATATCCACAAAATATTGAAAATATACTAATAAAAATACCGGGAGTTTCTCAAAAGTGGTTTATCCCTCTAACTTTTTTAGTTTTTGGGATAAAAACACAAGATTTGGTATTTGTGTATATGATATAAATCAGGATTGATTGACGTATTCAGTAGTTTTGGCCACTTCCTGTTTCACCAGCAGTGACTACAATTTTTACGGAATTTTATGCATAGTTTGTTAAACATACTTGCTATTTCAAGTCAAATATTTATAAACTCATGACACTCTAGATTGAAATTTAAAACACTATTTTCTTTAAGCTAAAATGTCAAAAGTTGACATATGAGATGTCATTCTATTCAGAATGTCATTTTCTATCGAATAAAATGAAAAAAAATATAGAGGGGGCCATTTAAAAATCAAAAGTTGCAGTCATTTCCGGTGAAACAGGAAACGACCGAAAATCACTATATGCGTCAATCAGTCCTAATTTATGTCATATACTGACATACCAACTCTCGTTTTTTAGACTGAGAAAATAAAAAAAGTTATAAGGGCGAGTCTCTTTTGTTATTTCGACGAAAGTTTGAAACACTCTGTAGAGTGACTCAACAACGCAAGAAATTTAAAAATTACTTAATCATTAAGGTGCATCTCTTCTCGATGGTTTAATGTTTGATTCATCTCAATAACTTTATTTTTATTGAAGGTATTCAGCAGTTTTAGCATTAAAAGCATGTTTTTTGCTTTAGGTTCGAATGAACACATCTATGAAATAGTATTTAATGTTCTTGTAATATCAATAAAAAATAATAAAAAAATTGAGTTTTTCATAACAATATCGCAAAAGCGTAATTCTAAAGAAAAAAAAAAAATAAGAATCATTATTGTAGATAATATTATAAATTACAATTTTGATCTGAGCTATTTAAAACTTTTTACGAGAAAAATAAAAAAAGGTCCTTTACCAAAATTCAGCTTTGTTGGAATTTGGGAAGATTGAAATGTTTAGATTGACCGAAGATGACTTTTAATGCCAGTGAAATTACAATAAACACTTAAAATCAACATCAAACTTATAGCTAGTATATATCCTTACTATATACTTTGGTTACTATATACTACTTTTTACTATATACATTTTATTTACTGGTCTTCTTCAAAAGCAATATCTCCATAAAAAATAATTACGAATTATCAAAGTACAAACTATGAAGAAAAGATGCACCTGCAAGATATATAGGTATATATATATATATATATATTTTTTTTTTATTTCATACTACGGCAAACCATTTAACAGAGTGTTTCAAATATTCAAGAAAATAATATTTTGTTTTCTCCTGTAATATACGAGAACTTGGTCTTGATTTCTTCAATATTTTTATTCATTATAGGATATTATATACATTAAAAAATAGACTAATATGTCTGACCTGTTTCAGCAGCGTGGGGTAAGTGGCAGGAAACTCTTCTTCCACCGTCTTTTCGTAGACGCTACAGTCAAATTTGGGCGGCAAATCGTTGACGTCCCTGATATGAATCACTACCGTGGTGTAATTCTCATTCAGACTATCTGACGCTACCAGTGTTAGCTCATACTAGGTCATGCCAAACCAAAAACAAAAACAAAAAAGCCAACTAGGACGATGCTTTCAAATATCGGACACAACAAAATGGATTTTGGTCGCGGTGTCTGTCTGAATTTTCCAGCGAATAAAAATCAATTGAAAATCCGGATAAACACCGAAAACCGATGGTAATAAAACAATCACATCGATTGGGTGTAAAATAAAAACGGGAACATATAAAAGGCATTACTGCAATCATTTGATATGAGATCAAACGGTTTCCGGTATTCTTTTGTTTACTTTTTATATACAGGGTGGTCCGAACTGTATTCCGGAAACTTCGGCAGCATATTCTGCAGATAAAAATTAGTAAAAAAGTTCGTATAAATATATGTCCAAAAATACTTAATTTCGGAGATACAGGGTGTAGATGTTTTGATTTTTTCCAAATAATATATGAAGTAACGTCAATATTTGGATGAAAATTGGTGTCTGGGAGTTTTTTGACATGAGAAATTTGATTTTGATGTCAAAATAACTCCTACTTCTAGAGGGCGCCACCTACATATTTTTAGCTGGTTTGAAGAGTAATAAGTTTTCGTTCGTAACTGTATAAAACTACTGACTTAAAAATATATACATTTAGGTAAAAAGGGTCTCTTGGTAAAAATCGCTACGAGTAATGATTCTCGAGATATTTGGAATCGAAATTATCAATACCTATCATCATTGACATAAATTAAACATTTGATTAAATAGTTATTAGACTGAAATCATAAATTTGAAATGTTTTTGTTCCAAAAGTTCAACAAAAACTGTTTTACCAACATTCTTTCGCAGAAAAATTTATGATTGATTTAAAAAAATTAAAATTTCCCAAATTTATTATTTCAGTCAAATAACTATCTACTCAACGTGTTTATTTTTTGTCAATAATGACATGTATTGACTATTTCCAGTCTAAATATTTTGAGAACGGTTGCTCGTAGCGGTTTTGACCATGTGGCATTTTTTACGTAAAAAGGCACGGGAATGTATATTTTTACTCAGTAGTTTTATACAGGTACCTACGGACGAAAATTTGACATCAAACTCAAATTTCTCATGTCAAAAAACACCCAGACACCAATTTTATTCCAAATAATGACGTTACTTCAAAAATTATTTGGAAACAATCGAAATAAAAATGAAACTTCTATGCCCTTTGTCTTCGAAACTAAGCATTTTAAGACATACATTTATACGAACTTTTTTATGTATTTTGATCTGCAGAATATGCTGCCGAAGTTTCCGGAATACTGTTCGGGCCGCCCTGTATAATTGTTAGATTAATTAACAATAGTATACTGTGTATAATAAAAAAATATTAAAACCTACAAGTGCCCAAAATACTAGAAATAAAAAGTAATACATAATTCCAGGCAGTTCGAAAGTTTTCGGAAGCAAAGTTTCGAAAAAAAAAACTTTTTACAAAAGGGTGTTAAAAAGTTTTGATTTATGTGCTTGAATGGGACCGGAAGGGACTTTTATACCTTTTTTTTTCACACAATTTCGAAAAACGACTTTTGCACAATAATGATAGTCGATTATGCGTGGTAAAATATTGTTCTACACAGTGGAGGCACTAAAATTCTACTAAAAATATCAAGAAGCTAATAGATTTAGCAAATGCCTATAAATTTGATAAAAAAGCACACAATCTCTTACGTTTTGATTAGCTTTAACAATTTTAATTTGGAGTTGGACAATTTATTTTCTATAAAACCTACATTTAAGTTCAAACGTTTATTAAAAGATGTACTTTACAGTTTAGTGTGATTAAATTAGTATTAATTAAAAACAGCGCTTTGTATAGAGAACAATTATTCCACTGCGTTGAGAAGTTAAATTAAAATTTAAATTTATTTAAATGTTATATAAATAAACTTTCGAGATTTACTACGAAAATATATCAAAGAGATAATTGTTTTATATAACAAATGTTTGCTTTGTTATATTTCGTAATATTTTCTGATTCTCTATTTAAAATAATATTAAATATTAAACCGACTTTTAATAATTCTTGTGAAAAATTAACAATTAAACGTGATTTCGAATAATAAAACCAAATTAATTTTATGTAGTAATAAAAAGGTACTTTTAAATAAAACAGAACAAATATTGTATAGCTATAAATTCAGAAAATGCAAATTTTAATTTCCTATATTATTTTTTATATACAGGGTGGTCCGAACTGTATTCCGGAAACTTGGGCATCATATTCTGCAGATAAAAATAAGTAAAAAAGTTCTTATAAATGTATGTCTTAAAATGCTTAGTTTCGGTGATACAGGGTGTAGAAGTTTCATTTCTATTTCAATTTTTTCCAAATAATTTCCGAAGTAACGTTAATATTTGGATGAAAATTGGTGTCTGGGAGTTTTTTGACATAAGAAATTTGATTTCGATGTCAATATGGCTCCTACTTGTTTTTGACTGGTTTGAAGAGTAATAACTTTTCGTCCGTACCTGTAAAAAACTAGCTAATTAAGAAATACACATTTACGATGTTTTGTACGTAAAAAAGTTCTCTTGGTAAAAATCGCTACGAGTAATGGTTCTCGAGATATTTGGAATCGAAATTACCATTAGCTGTCATCATTGACATAAATTAAACATGTTGACTAATTAGTTATTACACAAAAATCATAAATTTGTAATGTTTTTTGTGCCAAAAGTTCAACAGAAACTGTTTTATCATCATTTTTTCGAAGAAAAATTTATTAGTTTAAAAAAATAAAAAGTTTCCAAATTCCAATTTTCCCAAATTTCTCGTTTCAGTCAAATAACTATCTACTCAACATGTTTATTATTAGTCAATAATGACATGTATTGACTATTTCCATTATAAATATCTTGAGAACGGTTGCACGTAGCGATTATTACCAAGAGAAATTTTTTACGTAGAAAATCACGCAAATGTATATTTTTTCACTCAGTAGTGTTATACCGGTACAGACAAAAGTTATTACTCTCCAAAACTGTTAAAACACATGTAGGTGGCGCCCCCTACAAATAGGAGTCATTTTGATATTAAAATCAAATTTCTCATGTCAAAAAACTTCCAGACATCAATTTTCATCCAAATATGGACGTTACTTCAGAAATTATTTGGAAAAAATCGAAATAAAAATGAAACTTCTACACCCTGTATCTCCGAAACTAAGCATTTTAGGACATACATTTATATAAACTTTTTTGCTTATTTTTATTAGTAAAATATGCTGCCGAAGTTTGCGGAATACAGTTCGGACCACCCTGTATATTTTATTTTGGCGCCTTTTCTGAAACTTCTCTGCCAAAAACTTTCGACCGTCCATGCAAAAATATAACTCGCAGTGTGAATAAAATTAAAATCAAAGGCGGACCATCTTTTATAAACATAATATACATAAATAAAAAATTTAGAAAGAAATTCGTATCATATTCTTCAATATTATGAACGAAAATTATATTATAGCTATTAAAAAATCGCATTGGTCCGCCTCTGGTAAGAGTGGGATTTGATGTGCTGCAAACAAAGGGATACTAGCAGTAAATCAACGGGGGTGTAATAATAAAAATCAATAGGGAGGACTGGTTCTATAGTATGCTAATAGTTTTGGGATAGTTGGAAATTGAATTTACGACTGTTGCTCGACTTCTTCAAGCGTATTGAAATATAGCGCTGTTGCTGAATTTTGAACGCTAAAATACTAAACGACATTCCAGATTTTAGGTAATAAAATTTGCATGAGACTAATAGTTGATATGCCGTTATTGTCATAAAATCATAATAATTTGTTGGTAGTAAAAATATAGAATCTTTTTACATGCAAAAATTCTACACTCAATTTTTTTCGTGAAATTTAAAGTACAATTTTTTTTATTTTTGGCCCTATTTTCATGAATTTTTTACCAAACTGTATATTTAAAAAATATCTACTTTAATTGATAAATTCATTTGTGACTAAATTTTAGGATTTGACTTATTATACAAGGTTAATCACAGGGTTGTTTTTTATCCTAACTTTAAAACACCCTGTGCTATAATTTCATGAGTAAATTTTTCTAAAACACAACTTTTCCGTTAGTTCCATGTCTTCTAAGAATTTTGTTTTTTGACCCATGTCAACACATACCTTGGTTAATTTTTAGGAGCAAAATGAAGTTTAATACCAACAATTTGCATTTTTTTAAATTAATTATTATTACGTTTTGATGTTATCTTTTTAATATTTGCGAATTAAACTTGATATAATTTATACACAGTTTGCTAAAAAATTATGAAAATAGGGCAAAAAGTAATAAAAAATATAATACTTTAAATTTGACGAAACAATTTTTTCAGTGTATAAACCAAGCAATTTTTGATTCAATAAAAAAATTAATAATACATTTTTCCAAATCAAATCCAAAGCTTTTTACGAATTAAATGAATCTCCCCCTGGTTTTATTATTGACTTTCCTTCGTGACCTTTGATTACTAACAACGCTGACATCAGTAAAATTGAGCAACGCAGAAAAAATAAATTTGCCTTATTGAAACCAAATATTTTATTTTATTAACGAACGAGTCCTCCCCTCTACTGAAAAAAAGAACATATAGGAATACTCGAACTGCTGCAAAAACGGCCTAAAATATTCTGCAAAATAAGTATGGGAACAGAGAAAAACTGAAAAAAAAATGAACTCATGCGATATCCTGGAATTAATAATGCCTGTAGGGTCTCATTCCGAGTTCGATATTTCCAGTGTTCGTTTGCCACTAAATTTGGCGTATGGAAATACGTGGAAAACTCATTTAAATATAACAAAAGTTTCTGTACTGAAACGAGAAAGAATGGATTTTGAATCAGTCGTCAATATTTTCTGAGATTTTTCCCTATTAGAGAGCTCTAGCGTAGGCAAATAGAACTATTCCATTTAAAGAAGATTACTCGTCTACAAATACCACTCTGTTAGTGGCTCTATTTAAATCGAGAGACCGTTAACAAACTAAAGATCAGAGA